ACCGATTTGTTTCATCAACTCGCCGAGTTCACTTGATATCCAGAAGGCGGGGAAACCCAACCCGACTCGTCGAGTTCCTAGAGCAACTCGTCGAGTCCCACTTCCTTTTTGCTTGTGTGATGATACACCGAATCCAGGGACTCCAGGGCTTAGATCTAAAACCCTAATGTGTCTTAGAAGGATAAAGTTTCGAACTTTACCTTCTAGAATCATTCCAAATGCTCCAAGGCCCTTAACAAAGGTTGGAAAGTTCCGAAGCTTTGCCATATGGTCCAAAACTCTAGGGATCTGAAATCCCTCCTTCCCAGAAAGGTTTCTATTCCTCAAAACGTTCCAAAGATGGAGGCTTTATGGACATGCATGTCCAATACATGTCCTTAGGTCAAAATGGCCAAAAAGAGGGAAACATGCCCTAAAACCCTTACATGGTGTCCTTGCTCAACCAAAGGCCAGATCTAGCCCACCTTGGGACCATTTTGCTCTGGAGATTCATAAAGTTGCAAACTTTATGAATCCCATGCATGCATTCAACAAGAAGGGTAGGGAATGAAGGGTAAACTCAAGATCTAGCCATATTCTTTAATAAATATCGAGTCTTGAAGACTTACAGCAGTCCACACACCAAAACCCTAGATCTTAATTAAATTAAGTAATACCTGGAACAGGTGTTACACAAACAATTACCTTCGCTTCCAATCTCGTTAATTCATACCAATATAGTTTTGATTTTCAAGCCATGATACTTTCTAATTCAGTGAACAATTTTACATCGATTATTAGAATCGACATCCACATCTGATGTTCAAGAAAGAAACAGAGAAACCAATGGATTTCGATTTAAGCAATCAGATGAACAACAAAGGACTCAAGGAATGGGTAGATGAATAGTATCTATAAAAATTTGGGCTTGAATCAATACGAAATGGATTTAAATTGTTTGGGCTCAAAACGTGAACAGATACCAATGGAAAAATTAAATCAACAAACGAATTGTGGGCTAAATCATTTATGATGAACAGTGAATTTTGAAAAAAAAAATGTGAAAATATGATTTTGATTTTTGGAATTTTGATCTAAACAAAAATAATTGGATCAATCAACGGGGTTGAAACATATTTGATCCAATGAGGCAAATTGATCAATAATGAAAAACGCAAAATACGAATCGAAATCATGGACGTTTTGGAAACCATTTGAGAATTTGAGATACCTTTTTGACGAATCGAGTTCCATGTGCAACGAACGAATCAAATTTAGAAGAACTTGGTTCTTTTGATGGAACGAGAAAATATCCAATTTGAACATTGTACCACCCACGATGCGTGTTGTACAACTCGTTCTTCGTGTTCTTCGTGTTATTCGTCGATCTAAGAACATCTTCATAAGAACCATCAACACTTTTGAGTTTTGACTTCAAATTCAATGCAACATTTGGAGATTATTGCTTTGGAACCCAAATTTGCTTCACAACAACACTTGATGATTTTTGTGAGTAAACCCGCTTGTTTTTGCCTTTAATCTTCTTCTTCTTTTTCTTTCTCATCTTTTTGCATCTTGAAGATTTGATTTCAAGAACACCTTCATTCTTGACAACTTCAACTTTGCAAGTTTGAATCAAATCTTTTGGAGTTTAATACTTGTAAATTTCTTGGATTACCGACTTTCGGTAAGGAATCATTCCTTCAAACAATTCACAAGAACACAATATATCATCGGTTTGAACTCCAATCGAGAAAAAAACTTTTTCATCTTTACGAAAATCAATTTGAATATTCTTGTCATGAACTTCAAGAACATCAAGAACATCTTCAACAAACTTAAGAGCATGAAGATCACTTGGGTTTTCAATAAGAGAAATGTATCTCTTATTAAACAAATCCATTTCTTCTCCTTGCTCTCGATTTTCGCTACGAACTAACATGATCATGGAAAGATCATACAAGCATTCAATCTTCGAAAGTGGTTGAAATATCAATCTTCCATTATCATCTTTCAAACCTCCATAAGAAATCAAAGCACTCCATGAAATCAACCCGCCTTTCAACAATAACCCATAAAATTAATATTCGTTAACCTTGTATTTCACATCTTCAATGATCACAACCCAATAATCATGATCCAAATACACCATGATCACAAAAACTACAAAATTTTCTAGAGAGAGAAAGTGTTTTTGAATGGGTTTTCTAATGAGAGAAAGTGACACATATTCTAGAGAGAGAAAATCGAATTATGGATCAAACCAAGGAAAAGTCGATTTCTAGAACACAAATCACTCTCTAATCACGAAGATCAATAAGAACAAAACGAATCACCAAATCTAGAAAGCCATCAAGGATCAATTATTGATCAAATCAAGAACACCTGCTCTGATACCAGTTGTAGTGGTGTTGATTATGATGACATGTGCGGAATAAGAAAAGATCCAGTGAATCATCATGTAAACTCAAGAACACATCAAGTAAATAAATTTGTTTAAGCTCATATTAAATCTAGAAAGAATATATAAAGTGAGTCTTGTAAAAATTCTCTCTCTGGTCTAACACTCCAAAATGGTTCCTTACATAATGGAAGTCACTAACTTCCTATTTATAGGAAAGACTCAACCCATTTACACATACAAGAGGGTAAGCCTAACAATCCACATACAAACGTGACTTTGCACCCTAACAGACGATCTTGCCGAAAAAAATAAAGGATATGGTGATGGGTTACCGGAGGTTAAGGACTCGACGAAGAAGGTGATGGGGGAGGGGGTGGGTTAGGTGGAAGGGGTTTGGGGTGGGTGGGATCCAATGGTTGCATTTCTTATTTAAATTTTTATTTAACTAATAAAGAAATATAAAAAGAATCTAGTAAGGATAGTATAGTCTTTTTAAGTAAGATAGAGACTAAACACACAACAAAACGAAACTATAGGAATCGTCCGAGTTAAAAAACTTTGCTTCACACAGATTACCCCAAAACATAGGAACCATTCGTGTAATTTACCCTAAGTTAAATCTGGTTGAGTATATTTATTGGGTTTTCAAAATTCTCATGTTTGTAAGATTTGTTTTTTTGGAAAATGTTCCATTTTCTCATAATAGGACCAAAATTTAAAGTAAACGTGAAAGTTACTATTTAATGATATCAACCAACAAATGTAAATTTCATTTTTAGACGTGTTTCTTTATTTTAATGATATCAACCAACATTTGTAAGTTTCATTTTTTAGTCGTATTTTTTTATTTTACTGTCTTTTTTTTTTCATTCATATATTGTTTGGTTATATTTGTCGTTACAATGCATGACAACAAATTACATAATGATGATATAGAACAAAGTAAAATTAATATCTTTTTTATTATACAGGTTGAGTCAACCGGATATAAAACTAGTTTGTAGAAGGGTTTAGGGTTTAGGGTTTTTTAATAAATCTCTCGATTGCATATCTTGAATTGTATAGACCTTTTACCATATTAGGTTGGTAAAATTCTTTGAGATCAATTTAATGGTGAGTATGAGTGTATTTGTTTGATGGGAATTAAAAAAAAGGGTATTTCTTTCTTGGCCTTCTTTGCCACTTACAACAATTTGTACAAGGTTTTAGGGTTTATTTGTTTGTTTTTTAATGAATTCTTTGGATCACATATCTTGAAATTGTGATTGTTTGATAACGGAGGAAAAAGCCATGGAATGTATAATATAATAGATGAACAAAGTTTGTTTCCTTGCCACCTCTAGTATTCACACATTCAATTACATTGGTTTTTGTTTTCTTTTTTAGTAGATTAATGTTAACTTTATATACATGAAACATGGCTAGAAGTGTCGATGTTACTAAAATAATGGTGCTTGCTTCCACTTCATTTGGAGAATCTTTGCAGGTTAATATGTCCATTATTGACATTTGACAACTACAACTAATGAAACACACAAGCTTTACTTCTTCTCTACCTTCTTCTCTACCTATGCTCTTTCTAATATCATATGTTGTTTCATTGTCATTACTTAGGATGTATAGAAATCGGAATCAATGCTGTGTTCTTCACCATTCACAACATGGACCACATATCTGGTACCTCTTTCTATGAACTCTCTTTATCTCTTTCTTTAAAATTTCCTAGATTTTGCTATTTTAACCATTTTGCTGTTTGATTTTTGTATCATAGGTAGGTTGATTTTTCTATCTTTTTTTTATATGATTTTTACAACTATTGATTTGCAGGTCAAGCTTCAAAAATAATAAAAAAAACCTTCGTCCCCTCGTGAAGTACGAACAAAATTTTACAATTGGACACTATAGTTTGCAAAATGTTATCGGAAACGTTAAGCCGATGGTCCTTATATTTTCAACTTATTATATGGTTGGTCCGGTTAAAACTAACTATTTAGATGTTAAATTTTTAAAATGACCTATTTGTCTTTGGACCAAATCTGAAAATAAAATTTACAATGAGACCATTTCGAGAATTTACTCTTATTACCATAATAAAACAAATTAAATTACAAAACCAAATAGAAATAAATTCAAAAAATCTCAGGGGGTCCTTTTAGACCTGACAAATGTGTCATGTCAGGTTCCTGTCATGTCAAGACATTAAACGGGTTGAGAGGGTTTGATCCTAACCCAACCTGTTTAATTATCGTGTCATTTCATGTCAGCCCGTTTATTTTTGTGTCGATTTCATGTCGGGTTTCGAGTTAAGGTTTAGACTTTGTAAATATGTTATATCATGTCACGTTTAAATATTTTAAAGGTTGGAAAGTATGATACAAGGAGACAAAAAGGAAAATACGAAACACTAGAGTTGGAAAGTGGATTGATAATATTGATAATAAGTTAAGAAGACAAAATGGAAAGAATTAGATTTAGGGAGCAAAATAGTTAGGTAGCAAGGAAGAGTAAAATTGAGTCACGTATAAAGTTTAAATTTAAATTTTAATTTTTAACCCACTACAAATTTATAATATATAATATAGTTATAAAAATATACAAATTTTAATTTTTAACCCACTACAACTCAGCCCGTTAATGAAAAATTTCATGTTTTACGGGGTCGTTTGTTTGGCCACTTCTTCTCCTAGAACGGTGACTTAACTCCATCCGGCGTCGCCCTCTCCAGCACCGGCAACCTTCTGCCTTCTTCATCGTCGGTCAGCCTCGCTGCCTTCTTCATCAATTACATCGTTTCTTCTTCATCGATCAGCAGGCTGAGATTTTGAACCAGGTATGTTAGGTCTTCCTTAGTTCATTGATAAAGCTGTGTGTGTAATTTTGGTTATCAGGCAGTGAATAAGTTTTACGATTTTGTTAATTTCTTGTTCTGATTTTGCCTTCCTTTTAACTTGGGATCCATATTATTTAGCATCTGGTTGTTTTAATTCTTGTTAGCTCTTACAATTTTTTCTTTTCATTCAAGTTTTATGAACGCCTACAAGGTGTTTGATGTTTTGTTCTTTTCATTCAAGTATGGGAAAATGAACATCCTATTTATATCCATTATATTGTATCAGCATATACTAATTTAACCACAGGTTCACATTCAAGTAAATTTTAATTTTGATTTTTATCTACTTTACACAATGCTTAATCACTGATTGAACCATAACATATCCTATACATAGATACAGGGGAGAGGTCAAATATCATCGAAGTATTTGTAACAGTGAACTCACTTATATCTTTTTGCTTCAAAACCAATCACATATCATTATATTTTCCTGATTAGTAATCAAATTCCTAAATTTTAAAATGAATAATCCAATTCCCAATTCAACATTTCTAATGCATGAAGGTTTTTATCATATGTAAACAGGGATGTTATAGATGATGCTGTTTCATTAACCATCATTTACTGAGAGTCTATTATGCAGATGTTTGAACTATAGATTTTCCTATGTATATAATGTGCCATAATCCAATTCCAATTGAAGCAAAGTACTTTACATCTTTTACCATGTGTGCTACTTAACACATGCTTTTGTTTTGTTTCAAGTGTTATTATCTCTTTGTATTGAATTAATTCCCTTGAGTTTTTACATTGTTGCAACTTTAATAGTATCAATGGGGGTGATAAAAGATGGTTCTATTTCGGGAACTTTACCAAGTAACAAAGTCTTTGGAGTCAACTATCCTGGTTACCCTTCATCTATGGAACGTGCCTTGGTTACTCTTGGTGGAGCCGAAGGTATTTCCATGGTATGCTGATTACCACACCCACACATTCTTCCATTATATTAAAATCTTCCATTTTTAGGTGAGCCAAAAGGCTGAAGTTATTTTCCCATCTTTTTGGATGAGACAATAATCTGCAGTTTTTGTCCCTCTTTTTGGGTGCGACAAAAAGCTGCAGTTTTTGTCTAATTGACATGGGACAAAAAACTGCAGTTTTTGTCCCACTTTTTTTGGGTTGGACAAAAAGTTGCAGTTTTTTTCTCGTTGACATGGGACAAAAAGTTGCAGTTTTTGTCCCACTTTTTCAAGTGGGACAAAAAGTTGCAATTTGTTTCATTGACATAGGACAATAAGCTGTAGTTTTTGTCCCAAGTTTTTGGGTGGGACAAAAAAGCTGCAACTTTTTGTCCCCCAACAAGGTAGGACAAAAAGTTGCAGCTTGTCTCATTGACATGGGACAATAAGTTGCAGTTTTTGTCCCACTTTTTTGGGCGGGACAAAAAATGCTGCAACTTTTCGTCCTACCTTGTTGGGGGGACAAAAAGTTGTAGTTTTTGTCTTATTGATATGGGTCCTGGTCCAATGCACACCAAACACAGGACATTGTACTCCTGTTATGTTTTGTCATGTCCTGTTTAACAAACATGGCCTATGAGGTTTCAGAATAGCTTCTAGAAGCTTCAGTTAGATTTTGTGGCATTATATGTAGGCTCGTGAGTCGCCATCAAATCTTCTAGAACTTCGTTTCCGCCCTGAAGATCCATACTCACATCCTGCACACGGGGAGTTTGTTCCTTGTAACAATTTTTTGCTCAAGATTTCAAAACAAAATATTCAACCCGAAATCACTGCAAATGCTCATTTGAAAGAAGATGATGAGAATGAGACACATATATTAGCAAAACAAGAAGACACGATTTGTGCAGATATTGTTGGACATGTGTCAGAAACATATTATTTTAATGGTTAGAAAAATGTCCAATCTTTACATTTATGTAAACCCTAAACCCTAAACCCTGAACGTGCTGTGTTTGAATCATACAGGAATGGTAGACTACCAACATGTTCTTGGTGTTCATGCTGACGTGGCACGGAAAAAGAAGAGAAATTGGGATGATGTGGAACCACAATTTGGTGCGTGTTTATTAAAAAATGATATATAATTGAAAAATGTAACTTTTTGTGTTTTGTGTAACTTTGCAGAGAAACATGGTCTTATTGATGCGGATCAAGAGGATTTGATGATTTTATTGCCTCCTCTTTTCTCATTGAAGAATATTCCGGAGAATGTGGTGTAAGAATAAGATGCTTTATCTTGTCACAATAAGATATGTTCAAAAGACGTAAATGCCCCTCCTCATTTATATTCTTGTAGGTTGAAACCATCTATGTATGTGAGTTTGAAAAAGAAACAAGAGGGAGTTGTACAACATCGTTGGGAGGTAAGTAAGATCAATTACTTTTCAATAATTTTTTTTTTAATCTTGAGGGCAAAACAGTAATCTTACCATAACTTATGTTCTTTCTAACTTATTGTGTGAGTGTAGATGGATATTGAGCCAAGTCTTGCAATTGATTTCAACATCAAAGATATCCTTAATTACAACTCCTTTTATTATTTTCTTTTCACATAAAATGTATGGTGTCATCTTCTCCATTTATAGATTCTTCTTATTTCTTTTTTTGGTTGCCTTAATGTGTTGATACATGTTCCTAAAAAAGTAAATTGGGAAAAGTTTATAAAAGAAGGAACAGATGAATGGAATTGCCAGATGGCAGTTTGTGATTCGTTTGAGGAGCGTCCTATATGGATCAGAGAATCTTTGTCTGAACATTTGTCCAACAAAGGTCTCAAACTTAGTAGCAACTATTTGAAAAGGTGTGTTTACTGTCTGTTTACAAACTTATCATGCATATACAAGGGCATATTTGTAATTAACTATTTTAGAAAATGAAGTCAAACTTTGAGGATTCGCAGGAAAAAAATAAATGGGGGTAGGTAAATTTGTTAAATGTTAGGATTTAAAGGGGAAAGACTTAGTATCAACTATTTGAAAAGATGTGCTTACATACTTATCTTGCATATACGAGGGCAAATTTGTAAAATGTTCTTTTACTGATTTACAGGCTTCTATTTAGGGCAGCATATTATTTTTCAAATGGACCTTTTCTTAGGTTTTGGATCAGAAAAGGATACGATCCACGTAAAGATCCGGAATCTCGCATGTGAGAATTCTATCATAATTTATAATTTTATTGATTTAAAAAAAAAAGATTTATTGATTTTTTTTTTTAAAAAAAAAATATATGTTTTGGGAAACAGATATCAAAGGATTGACTTCAGAGTACCTCCATCCTTACGAAGCTATTGTGATAATGGCATAGCATCTGGGTAACACATTTATAAAATCTTATCACTTTTTTTTAGAATGTAAAGGTTTTTACAAATCTGTCTAAAACCTGTTTGTTACACTAACTTCAAAATTCATATTATTCAAGAAATATAACTAAACAAACTTTAAATCCATTTGAACAAATAATTAAATAAACTCAAAATTTGAACTAGTTAAATAAACTAGATATATACAAACTCAAAAAGATCCAAATATGACAAGTGAAACATAAACTCTATTTATAGTATAAATGAATAGTACTTTCACTATTTTATCCTTTTCTTTTTATGATTGATATAATACTAATTCGATAAAATGGTGAAACTTTTATGCAAAGATTGAAGCATAAATGGGGAGATTTATGTCATTTTCGAGTTTTTCCTTACAAATGTCAAATTTCACTTCAATTATTTGAACTTCCTGATGATTACATTCAACAAGAGATGAAAAAGCCTTTGACTCAAACAACTTGCAATGTAAGTCTTTTATTTCTTACTTTTTTTTTTTTATAACAAATCATATTTATTTTTTTAATGTTATTTATATAAATTTACAGCTGGCGACTGGTTGGTTTACTCCACATGTCCTTGAGATTTTTCGGTTATGTGTTGCTGTGAGATTCTTATCCGTGTATCCAAACACTGGTGCTGAGTCTTTCCTCAAATCAGCTTCTTCACGTCTTGAAAAGTCAAAAAGAACAGTAACTGTAATAAAGGAGCCCATAGTTAACCAACAAATCATTAATAGAGGTGCAAATTTACCATTTTTCAAATTATTAAACGAAATTTTTTTTTTTTTTGATGAAAAGGTCAAGAGCTGAATCGTTCTAACCTCTTAATGGTTAAGTGATTGTCGGATTCCTTAACCGTTCAAAGGCTGTATCAAACGCGCTGAATGCTGACCGATTCTAAATGGTTTCGTTCAGAGGTTATCAAATAGCCTCTGATTCATCACCTAATGTCATGTCATGTCATGTCATGTCATGATTTGTCATTGTCATGAGTAATCTCATGTATAACAAATGGAGACTAAATATGCAAGTGGTTTTGACTTTTGACTTTTGACTTTTGACCATGCTTTGACTAAGTAGATGAGGTGATTATTGAAGAAAAAGGCATGAGCAACGATGAAGAAGAAGAAGATGATGATGATGATGATGTAGAAGATGACATGGAGGATGAGGATTTTGATGCGGATGAGGGACTTGATTTGGTAATCGTTATTGAAACTATATTTTTTTCTGTTTACATGATGTTTGGATAAATTATTTTAAAAAATATATGAGAATAAGGACAATTTTTTTGAAAAGTAACGACTAAATAGGAATCCCAACTTTGTATATTAAGTCGTTACTTTCTCTATTAAGTAAAAAAGAAACAACACATTTGTTTATTATTATTATTTTTTGTTACTATATTTTTTTCTTCTAATATTTATTTTTATAATGTTTGTTTCTAGGCTGGTGATGGGACCAATTTCTTACAAGAACCATCTTGTATCCTTATTATTACCATTTTCCTTTATTTTTATTTTGTCATGTAATGTTTTGTTTTTTTCTTTATTTTGATATGAAATTTCCTATATGTTGTAAAGATACAAATGAAGATAACATTTCAAAGAGCTACTTGCAAGACCTCTTTGGTAGTTTTCCATATAATAATGGAGGAGGCAATGAGTTCCAAGATGGTGAAAATAGTGATGGAGAATATCATATATATGATCAAGATAGTGATGAAAACTACTCCGATGATGACTACTAAATTGTTTGTTTTAGAAGAATTTTTATTTAGTATTATTTTTTTTTTTTCATGTTGTGTTGCTTTCACTTTTTTTTTAGCTTCAAATCTTCAAATCAGTAAGGTGAAAGTCATTTTTGTACAAAAAGATCACTTTTGTCTTTGAACAGAAGAAAGAAAGTCATTTTTGTACAAAAAGTATATATATTGGTAAAGTTGGATCTTTTGAAAAGACTACATACATTAAATACAACAATCTATTTCATTAAGACTTTTTGTATGAAGACAGGAAAAAAGAACTTTTTGTCCACATCTTCTTTCGCAAACATGAAAAATGACTAAAAACATTTTATCACTCCAAAAACAAACCCCATCTTAGACTAATTCCTATGTACACATTTTACAAACCAAAGAGAAATGAATTTGAGAGCAAACTTACTCCAAGTATACAGTCAAGAACACATCCCGGTTTAGGTGAATTTTTAGGCAAGATTACATATTTCTCTCATTGTTGTAACAATGCAAGAAAACAAATTTATTATCACCTCATTTATTTTAAGAGAATCATGTCCAACATTAGCCTCAATCACATGAGTTTACTTATTCTGTGTCCTACCTTTGCGTTGGTAATTTTTCCTTGGAATTATTTGCACTATAGAATACGTGCAATTGGTTAGATTGAATAATTTCTTAATAAACATAAAAATACCGGATTTTTTTGACATGATAGGTTTTTAAACAAGAATCTAATTTATATTACAAAGTTTCATTCAATATTTGTAAAAATAGAACCACCTAATGTGACACTTACCATGAGACCAATGACGACACCACTTATTGTGGTCGTGACTACAGTTGTAAACCATACCAAAAGACCATAAAAGTTTGGGAAAATGATTTAGGAGGGTAACCAACTGTTGCATTTGTTCTCATTTGGTTCTTTTTTTTGTACTCAATATACCATCTAACTTGTTTGTGTTCACCATAACCTTTTGACCGACTATCATAGGTCAAAAGCCGGTCAAAAGGGCTATGGTGAACACAAATAACAAGTTCGATGGTATATTGAGTACAAAAAAGGAAATGGACCAAATGAGAACAAACGTAACAGTTAGTTACCATCAAGAGTCATTTTTCCTAAAAGTTTTTAGTGCTCACTTTAAATGGTAAAAACATAATTTTTTTTTGGTCATACCTTAGTTGAATAGCTAACAGCCTAACATACACATCTTCCAATCTATTCATAAACTACACTTATTGTGAGAGCAATGATGACACCACCTATTGTGGCTGTCACTACAATTGTAAACCATACCAAAACGCCAGAAAAGTCTTTTGGTGCTCACTATAAATGGTAAAAACACAAAATGTTTTTCGGTTACCTTAGTTGAACGGCTCACACCCTGACCTCCAATCTACTCATAAACTACACTTTCGTTCTAAACAAGACTTGAACCCTCAACAAATTAGCTAATGAATATCTTTCCAATAACTTCTGATACCCGTTGGTTATAAGCCCTTTGGTTTTTTTCCCCTATGTTGAACTGTTTTAGGTTCTTAGCTAAATTTATTCCTACACTTGTTAAAGGTAAGGCCGATGCTTAAATTGCGAGTGTGGTGTTGGAAAAAGTAGGGTTTGTAGTGGAGATATGGATACCACTTGGATGTAAGAACACTTTCTGAACTGATATTTCTACCCTATGCCTGGGTTGCAAGAAATTCAACCTAGGATAATCCAAGAGGACACTTACAATTCTAGGTACAGAAGTCGTAAGCCAAATTACTAGAAGGATTCTATGTTTGTTTGATGAAAACGAGAGCTTAAGAATTTCGTGTGTCTCTTCTTAAAGAGAAGAGCCGTTTATATAATAAACGAGATTAGGGTTTCAATTAGGGTTCGCCGTCATGGGTTGCTTCAGAAGTAATTCAAGAAAATCCGGATTATAATGAGGATTTACGGTTTCCAAAACTGACGAATTTCGTTAGTTTTACCATAATCACCGTCAAGAATTCGTTTTTCCAACTATGTTCCCATATGTAATTTTCGAAGAATTTTTGGGGCGCTGCCCCTCGACCTCTCCCGCTGACCTGGCAGCAGGACGCCAGGCAGGGGCTCTGCCCCTTGGACCCCGCTAGGGACGCTGCCCCTAGACCCCGCCAAAGGGGCGCCGCCCCTTTGGAAACTCCGGACCCAGGGGCGCTGCCCCAGAACCCCCGACTTGTCGTCGAACCAGCTTCTAATTCGATCTTATACATGTGTGCACTCCGCACAAACCCGTACATATATTAGAGTACAAATTATGAAGCCCCTTAGCTCACATGTTAGTTTCAGTTACATAAAATGACATGGTGACACTAAAATCACCAACATGTGGTAGATTCTTGGAAGCATTCAAATTATTCTTTTTCCAAAAGTACATATTGGATAAGTTGGTAGATACGTTGTATCATGTATGTATCACCAACATGGTTAGACATTTTTAATCTTAATTGTGTGAAAAATTCCATTGAGGGTTTAGTTGGTAAAGTAAGACGGAATTTAAGGATGTTGGTACTTTGGTGTATTTCCATTTAAATGGAAAGACTTAATTTCATTATTTTGATTAAGTCTTAGGTTTCGTTTAACTGAAAATATAAGTGAGCAGAAAGAAAAGATGAAAATCAAGCCTTGTTATGGTAATACTTAGATAAATGTATAAAGGGAATTGGATTTGTTCAATGACAACTACCTAATCCAACCCTTGACAACTATTCCAATTTCTTCACATCCAAGTTAATAGTTTTCTTGTTTTAAATAGTTTGTTTCCAGTTTCCTAATCGGTTTGGATCTAGAACTCTTTCACATCTTGTATATATACCCTACATGGGTTTGTTTTTTAATTGATCAGTAAATAAATGTTTCATTCAAACCTATATCCAGTTTTTTTTTATGGTATCAGAGCACGATACCTTTCCTTCCAATCAATCATGAAAGGAGAAACACCGAGCAATAGTCCTTCCAGCAAAAATCCATCGTCAGACCCCGAATCACCCTTCTACATTCATCCTATTGACTATCCTCAACAAATTCATGTCAATGAAATCCTAAACGACAACAAATATGTCGACTGGGCAAGGGAGATGAATGATTTTCTCTTGGCCAAGAATAAATCAAGTTTCATTGATGGAACTCTTGTCAAACCGACCGAAGATGGCATGACACTCAGGGCATGGGAACGATGTGATGCCCTAATACGGGGATGGATGACAGCTGCAATGGAGAAGGAGATACAAAACAGTGTCAAATACACTAATACATCCCAAGAAGTTTGGGAAGATCTTGAAGAACGTTTTGGAAAGGAAAGTGCGTCTCGTGCTTATGAACTGAAACGAGCACCGACGATGATGAGACAAGATAACGCCTCCATATCAACTTACTTTACTAAGTTGAGAGCCATATGGGACGAGATCCTTTAGGGAAAGATTTAATGCAACCAAATACACAATCAGAGTCTGCTAAAAGGGGAGGTTCGGAAATTATGGGCTCGGCATGGATACAGGTGGCCTAAAAGGGTGTTTGTCCTCCAAAGCTTTAATAGTATCACCACTGTATGACGCAACACCCGATGAGCATAACACTTTCACTGCTGCGGTAAAATGACCATCTGCAACCTTACGGAGACACTGCCTGATGTTGGTGTTACTTGATGTAGACTCCTTCTGAAGGGCGCCTCCACCCTGTAGAGGAAGCCAAATATCACTCGAGCTTGTAGTAGAGGAAGCTTCTGAACGGGCACAAACAAATATCACTCGAGCTTGTAGTAGAGGAAGCCAAACAAGAGAACAAGCCTCGAGATGAAGCTTAAGCCATGAAGCAATAATTAAAAGGAAGGAAAGGAAATGTCAGACCAATACACTGTTGGTGTGCACAAGGAACGCTCAAACTAAGCAAACTACATTATCTTGAACAATAAAGCTGCAACAAGAGAAAAACTGGTTTGGGTATTTTATCAAACACTTGGTAGGCAACAAAAATAGCTTTTTGGAATTTCATCTACTTCTATTGAAACATCAACCTTCTAATCTGATATCTCACAAGGATCCAGAAATCAACACGAAATGGTTAGATCAAACTGATGAGAAAGTGACGAAATCATTAATTAGTATGTTTGAGATGCATGAAACCCGATCCAATCTCTGCACTGAGATAGAATTTTGTTGATCTGAGTAATTGGCATTAACGATTTGGGATTTTGATAAATGAATACGAAGAGAAAGTGTACACGTAACCGATAGCAATTGGAGATTTGGAAGAAAACTGATCATCTTAGGTTCCCATCTTCAGTAAGATTTTAAACTTCCATAAACACAAATCATAATTACCTAACAAGAGTCATTATCCAGCTGTTAGATTTTTTTTCTCGACAGGTTAAATGAAGATGTTGAGGCAAAGAAGAAATTTGAGTACATTGAAGAAAATCTGAAATTAAAAGAAGAACTCTTAAGTTTACATTGCCGATTCTTTTTAGTGTATTTTTAGGCGAATGCTCGCGCGTTGTGCAGAAACACCTATATAGTTGAAGTCTTTATAGATATATGTTTTTTTTAAATATAACAATAATGCTGTTGTTAAATTTGATATAATAATTCGTATACTGAATTGATATAATATATTGATTATTTTGAATTATATGATAATATATATACATCTATTATAACTACATAATCTCAATCGTTTGAATGACTTCTATCCGCGAGTTACACATGAATAAAATTAAATATAATATATTGTTTTATTTATAGTTGTTGTTATTGTTAATTAATTTTTTAAAATTTGTTTTCTTAATGTTTTAATTTCTATCATCATAATTATTTAAAACATCAAACATTGTTTTTTGATTTTAAAGGTAACAATATAATCATTTATATAGAGTTATTTTAACTATTGTTATTGTAAATTATTGTAAGCTACTTATTTAAAAACTTTTAACGATTATAAATATATCTTTAGAAAATACTTTAGTTAAATTGAGATTACAATTTAGTTTTTGCATTTATCACTACAATTTATCACTATTAACTATTTACAAAATATTCTTTGGTTTTTTAAGTGGAACTAAAATTTATATTTAAGTTGACATTGTAATGTTATATTTAAATCAACAATTTAAGTATTTTGTCCAAACTGTTCAATAGTTGTAGCTTCAAACTGATAATGGTTTACACACAACAACATATTAAATCTAATAAATTAAGTATAATATGTTAAAAGTTAAAGACATACGTTTAGAAGTAGAAGTAAATATGTTATTTTAATATTGAAATTTAGTATATTTATGATTACACTTTAGGTTTAATATTTATTTAACCTTATTAACAAACGTATAATCATTATTAGAAAGACACTACAATTAATCACTTTTAACTATTTACAAAATATTCTTTGGGTTGTTTAAGTTAAACTAAAATTTATATTTAAGTTGACCCTGTAAGTTATATTCAAATTAATAACTTAAATATTTTATACAAATTGTTCCAAAATTGTATCTTTAAAATGATAATGGTTTACATCCAACAATATATTAAAACTAATAAATTAAGTATAATATATTAAAAGTTAAAAAACATAACTTTATAAGTAAAAGTAACAATATTATTTTAATATTGAAATTTAGTTTATATATAATTACACTTTAGGTTTGATATTTATTTAACCTTATTAACAAACTTATAATTATTATTAGAAAAAAAATGAAAAGTCATGAGAGTTCAAATTAATTGGGTGAAAGAAAAAATACATGAGAGTTTCAAATCAATGATGAAAGGAAAAATGCTTCATTTATAATATAGTATGATTTCTTAAGTTTTTTGTGGAAGGTTCATGCTCGTTCTTTTTAACAAACAATACAACAATTGCCGATTCTTTTTAGTGTATCTTTCCCCATTAGCTATTTTGTCGTTTTATAAATCTTCATGCTAATAATATACTTTTATAAATCTTATGCAAGGCTACAATCCTTTTTTTTTTTCGATAAAATCGGTAGAGATCATTTTTGGCATTTTTGGGGTTGTTGACATCGGTTGAAGGTATTATACCATTACTAAAAAAGTTCTAATGAACTTTTAAAAGTTGATCCTTAGGTTATCCGGAGTGGAGTTTCAAATCACGCGTGAAAGTCTATGTGGCTGCCAACGAACGCGTGAACACCGCCCCAAGGGCTGGTGGCTTGGGTATGAAGTGGGTGCAAAGACGGGCCAAGACGAACAATAGCAAGTAAGCAGCAGCAGAAACGGTGGTTTCATCCATTTTCCTTTTTATGAAGTTACAATTATGGTCCCTGAAAGTGTTCATTATACACTTTTACTTATATTTAGATTAAATTAGACCTCAACTCTCTCTCTCTCTCTCGAGATATATATATATATATATATATATATATATATATATATATGAAATGTGGTTTTTTTATGTTTTTTTATGTTATAAATTATGTTTTTTTATTTAGATTAATGATAAAAAAATAAAAAATAATAAAAGAAATATTATGGAGTGGTAACAATTTCCAATGTCTAGTGGGTTGGTGGTGGATCTGACGTGACACTGAGTTGACAGCGCTATTCCGATGGTTTGGATGTGATCACTCTCCATTGCTTTATATCATTGATTTTATGTATATATTTTATCCTGTATATGTAATTTGGTAGGATAAAGTCATAGAAGACCACCCAATGCCTCCACTATTTCAATTCCTAGGATTAAAAATATTTTTATCCCAAAAGATTTAAATTTTAAATCTCTACTTTCATTTAGGTCTTTCATTATGCATAACAGATAGTATATATGTTTGACCGATTCATTCCATTATTGGGGTTGTTTTGATCTTTCACGTATGTTTTGATGTTTCTCATCAGTCGGAGAGTGCAGTGCTACAAGCTGGTCCGGATTGGTGAAAACAACAAAAGAAAGAGCCATAAATGTGATCACGACGTATGTATTCTGGAATGGTCATGAACCCTCACCACGCAACGTTAGTGTCTTATTTCGTTTGATTATTAAAAGCATCGTATCTAAATAAAGTGTTGTCCGGATAACTGATGTTTAAAAATATTTAAGAAAAAGGGACTTTAACAATCAAACAAAGCAGTTTTGGTTCCACATGCACATGCCAACTCACAGCAAAGTTCTTAAAAAGATGTGTATATTAAATACACCCAATTTTGATTTTTGAATTTGATGGATTCAATAAAGTAAGCTGTTTGTTTTGTGATTTGTTTTGCAACGGAGATAATTACAATTTTAAATTTTTACCTCCCGTATATTCATAAAATCTAAATCGAATGCATGAAAAGCATTGGACCACATCATTAGTTTCTAACCATAAAGGCCATTACTGAATCTACCCTTTTTTTATATATTTTTTTAAAAGCAATGATAATAAAATTAAAATTCCATCCCCTTAAATATTTCTTTAACGTTAGCTTACCTCTAATCGCAAAATAAATGATTCCAACTTATAAGTTAGCTTACCTCTACCGAAATTTCTTGATTCTTTGGTGGAATAGTACTACATTGTTCATAGATTTGAAATTACAGTACAAATCTCGTTATCCAGAACTTCAAAGGTGAATGTAGGGCCTGGAAGTTGGTGTACATGCAATGTTTGGTGAGGTGTAGTAGCTGAACCTCTATTTTATCTAGTGGCTGTCATAGTTAGCTAAATAGTTCTTTGTTCCCTTTTGTTTCTTAGCTGCATTACAATTGTATCATTGTATTTGGTCCATCCCCATGCTGGCTTTTTATTTTAATGCATTCTTGCCGTTCCAAAAAATATATATTTCTTTAACGTTATCAAATCTCTAGAAAATCGAAATACTCATCAACACTATTCTCAACGTGGATCACATGCCATATATATGATACTATATATATATATATA